ATCTCTCCAAGGACAGCCACCTTGCTCTGAATGCATAATACATACACTACTGCTCAAATTCGTTTTCACATTGCATTAAATGTAAAAAAAAAATAATGTGTCACTGTGGGTTTTAGGTCATCAAATGCTGGTTTTAAAAAAAAGATTTATTAAATGTATTGTTTTTCCGTTACTGACAAGGAGTATCAAATGAAGAAAATATTCTCAAGAGAGAGAAAGTCAACACTGCTTTTCTCTGCTGTTTTTTTTTTTTTACAAGATACTGCAATCGAGATCACAAGATGTAAAAGCTGCAGCAAAAATGATCTGAGTATCCCAGTGCATTTTTTATTCATAATAATTTCTCTATTTCATAACGTCCCTTGAACCAAAAATTAAACCATTTGTGAGCATGTAACCTTCATCATTTAATTTTACAACAGATGCATTACTCAACAGCATTAAACATTTTTATGTGAACCCAACTCTGCTGTATATTAAGGCAATATTTTCCTCTGAGACTTAGCCCTGCTATCACAAAATTTAAGAATTCATTAAAGCTACCTTTCATATTCATGTATTCACCTCTTTCCCCAAAGGTATTAACTCACCTAACAGCCTCCTTATATTAACCATGAACTCAAAGTCACCTCTCCACCCCCCAGCCAAGGCTCCATTTTATTATCAAATCTATGATGATGTAATATTTCCACCAATGATGGCTGTCAAGTTGCCTATATCTGTGCAAATCCCCACCTGAAAAGTATAGATTTTTCTACCAGAAAGACGACTGGTTGACATTTTTTTCCTTTTGTCTCCTTTTATTTTGAAAGTCATTATCCAGCAGTTTGTCAGCTTTATTGACTTTGTTAGTTGTTAGTTGAAAAACCTTTGAAAGAAGACAAGTAGAACCGAAAATGAGTACACATGTGCTTAATGAAAACAACAGAGCTTTAAACATTGCAAAGGAAACCACAAATTAAGCATTATTGTGACAACGACAATCCTAGATTTAAATTCACTTAATCAATCGCTCAATCAATCAAACAAAGTCTGTCATCATGCCGTGCTTCCAGTGACAGTTTATCGAAAGCGCTGATATATTTAATTCAATTCTTATCATGGGGAAGCGAACAACGTTATTTGGATGTAATTTTGGTTTTAACTTGATTTTGATAGTTGACAACATGGCCTTGAGAGCCATGCCCTCACAACATCTGCTGGACTATCACCAGTTAATTCAAACACCAGTTAAACCGGCACACCTGCACCACTGCAACAGCAAACCAATCCAGCAAACAGTCACTTAAAGTAGTCTATGTAGAGGTCAGCCTCTTACCGGCTGCCTCTTTGGATTTGTAGAATGGTCAACTTCCAGTTTAAGGATTTGGATATTTCCGAGATGGGCTTGCTGTGTAGGTGCAGCGAGTTAGCTGCTGGCCTGCCTCTCCCCTCTGATGTGTCTTTTCTAATGCACCAGGTGCACTCGGGCTGTTTAGACTGATTCATACCCGTTTGCTTAGCTTCGAATGGATAAAACTGTAGGGAGTATATTAACAGCTGAAGAAGGCTCTCTCTATGCTGCGTTTGCATGTTCGTTTGATATGTTTAATTTTAAAACACAAATATATTCCTTAGATTCAGATAATTAAGTTATTTCTTCCCTCTCATCATCGTTTTCTTTTGTAGAAAATTATGTTTCTGTAAAAGTCATTATTCCCAGTTTGAACATTGCTAACATCTGTTTTATGGATGTAATGCTGTGCTCTCAAAGGGTTTAAGTAAAAATCTGAGTATTTATTAAAAACATTTTTGGCAAATTTTTCAACAGTCTCAACAGTTCCTATGTGGTATTTGTTGCTTTTTCCAAGAATTTTATGTTTCATTTTAGAGCAGGTTTTTCTCATTTTCTGATGAGTTGGTAACTTAGTGCTGTGTAATGCCATTTCCAAAAAGCGTCTCAACTCCAGATGTGCCTGCAGATGTCACTGGCTGTAGCAATTTTAACGGCAGCTGGTAAGGTTTTTTTTCATGGCAACTGCAACCAACTGATGATCCATCATTATCCCCAGTGAGGATGAACACAGTCATCTGTGTACTGAGATTTGACTTGGTTATTAAAACTATTATAATGTAACACAAATTGTAGACATTTGATTTTCCTAATAACGTATTTATCCAGAAAAAAAACCGGCTTACATATTTACCGCAATTTCCATTCACACGGTCTTATAACTTAAAAAGTGTATCGTATTACTGCCAAAGATGATCTTGGAAACCCACCAAGAAGTAATGGAATGGAACTGCATATCTAAGCTCTATGACTTCAATAAAGAATACATAGCATGGCCCATATGCAAAGAAATAGGTACATGAGTGAGTAGAAATAACAACAAACAAAAGGTTTTTATCTCAGGTCAGATAGCTGTGTTTCTGTCTGGGCCTGCTCGTCCCAAAACGGCTCCATTAGCAAATACAATTCCAGTCGTTACAGACGACTGAATACCCTATCAGAGGGAACTACACATCTCAGGCAATCACAGACACATACACAAAGACACACACAGCACTACCAAGAGGCAGGTGTGCTAGCACAAAGACAGAGATACATGCATACACATTATCACACAGAAAGGTAGACAGCGGTATTATTCTTTCTCTTAAACAACTTGATCCATTGCCAGATCTGAAATGCAGTCTACTAAACACAAGTGGAAGGATGCATGAAGAAAAAGAAAAGAAAAAATCCAGAAAAATTCAGCATATTCCTCCAATGTCTGAGCTGTTTTTGTGTCTGTGAGGCAGAAATAGGGGAGTAAATAGAAATAATGGAAGCGAGTCAAGGAGCGCTAAAAGAAGAAAATTGAGGGTAAATCTACTTGAGAGGAAATGGAAAAGTATAGAAAGAGAGTCAGATAAAGAGGGGCAGATTATATACTGTTGGCGGATGTTGTTTCTCAACAGCATGTCGGGGGTGGAATGTGTTGTGTTGGCTAAAAATTCAGCCCTGGCTTAGCAAGAAAGGACTTGTCTAAATGGCTCCCATTGCTGGCAGAGGATTTTAAGGTGCTGTGTGGCAGAGGCTTAAAGAAAATGAACCATCATTATTGTATGTTATCTCAATCTCAGATGTTGGCTTACATTGAAAGATTACATTGACCATATTTTTCAATTCAGTAACAGAATGCTGCTCTCTGATTGCATTAAAACATTGGAAAAAAAAGGTAAACAATGGCTATTATTGAATCAGTTATTACCACATTGCAAGTTAATATGCTAACAAAAAGTTGTCTAATTCCACGTCGAGCAGATATGCAGCATCATTAGCATTCATATGGAGTCCGGTTCATTAGAAGCCAAACATTCACTCACCATTCATACTGACTTTAATCTTCTCAAATAAATGCTGGAATTATTCAGCTTTTAGAAGTACATTGTTTTGACTATGTTCAGTTTGATGTTCAATTTGCTTGCCATGTGTCTGGTCACCCTTTATGGTAGGCAGGAGGCATAATACGTTGTTAGAACTTTCCCCACTGAAAGCAGTTTCCTCTTTCAGCTGAAAACAATGCTGAGAGAAACTGCAGAATCCACTCATTACTCTCTGGGTTTGCAACTACAAATGATCCATTTTTAATGAAACCATTTGGATTATAGCCCTTATGTGCATAACCGTACAGCATGTCACTTTTATCTCTCTGGTCAATTAAGGCGTAAGATCCTCGATAAAACAGATTTACACTCTCTCAAGGCACATGCAACAGAATTTGACTTATATCTACAGTCAATGGGGAGACTCACTGCAGCATTGTAACTCACGTTGTTGGCTTGGCTTCCCAGTGTAGGATGCCAACGGCTGATTTTAATGTACCAATGAGCTAATGAGCCGGTTTCAGCAGCCAGCGGAGCCACCCAATGCTGATGGCTCCATGTAACAACAAGTGCAATCACTACCACTGGACCAATAAAAAACAGTAGGAAAAGTAAACAAATTGCATAGAATGAATCCTTCAGAACCATCAATGAAATGTGAAAGATTTCTAAGTCAACAAAAAAGGTCAACTGTATAAAACACAATCAATGCTTACACAAACATTGGTTATTTTTTTAGTTGAACGGATGGATTGATGGATGCTATTATTTATTAAAAAGGCAATTAGCTGTTAGCAAGTAAGCACAAATAAAGGATGGTTGGGCAGGCGGAGGTGGGGAAACTTTCAACAACAAAAGATAATAGAGTGACACAGGATGATAATACTTTCTCCTTGACTTGCCCTTGAAGCTCCATCTTTGACCTGCAGTGTACCTTCTAATTAACTTCTACTGAGGCTTTTTTAAATACGGTATAATGGAGCGATTCTGGTGGATTTGAATAGCTTATCTGCTCATTCAAGTCAGCAAGGCAATGCTACAAAATGAACTCAGTCACTTTTCTTTTTGTGATGAAAGAGAAAAGCCACTGGTGGCTTTGTGTATGTGTGTGTTTTCTTATTCTTACTGTGTTTGACAGCCAGCTTTTCCTTCATTCTAATTCCAAGTGGTAACGTCTGTTTTTTTCACATAACCCTCACAGCCATAAGGGACTCATGCACATCTGCTCAGTACATACACACGTGCATGAGGAGGACAGAATTCTGCACCATGTACAGATTTCTTGCACATGTTTCAAAATATGAAGCATACTGTGAAATATGGATGGAGACATAACTAAAAGGTTTGGCGCCTGAAACTCTGAAGGTATCTGCATGATAAAGTTTGTTTTGCCACTTTTCAAATGACAGGAGTTGTCTGCTTTGCATGCAAGGAAATGACAATGTATAAAAGGAATAAAGAAAGTTATTTTCCATCTAAGCTCTGTTATTGTCTCAGCTCAGAATAAATTGACATTTCATTTTGTTTCCACATAAACCATCCTATTAAGCTCCCCCAGGGGGTTTTGAATGATATTTTAATATAAAGCCATGCAACGGAAGCTATCAAATTTCATTTAAAACCAGAACATCCTGTAACTCACCTGGTAAAGCATCTGCTCCATGTACAAAGGCTGAGTCTTTACTGTAGCAGCCTCTAGGTCTGACTCCAACCAAAGTCGTGTTCTGCCAGTAGGCAACTTCAGGGGCTGAAAGAAGCACATGTGGAAGTGACAGAAACTGCAGCTCCGTAATTTGCCAGTTGAGGCTGGCTAATCCTGTTTCGGCTGTTTTTTACAGTATTCTGTCCATTAATGACAAAAGTTGGAACTGATTCTTTATACAACTCACCTGTTATAAATTACATTAAGGCTTATAATTATTCTAATTTAGGGGCCAAGTTGCTTGACTGACAGGTCTTTGCTAAGTGTAACCTGTGACACTTAAAATCATTAAACTTTATCTCTCTGTCATGTCTGTGTTGTTGCAGCACTTTTGGACTGTAGAGGCCAGAATCCATAAATGATAAGGCTCAGACCATTCTAGAGGTCTGTTCACCTTTTCTTCAGCAAATTTGATATTTGTGCTTTTCATGTGGTAGCACTCTACTTGGCAGGTATTTGGGTCTGCTCTCCATACTCATATTCATAACTTGTTCTGTGTTTGCCATGTTCTTACATCCAAGAATAAATCAATGCATGACAGGCAGAAGTCATATCTTACCCCAGCAATGGAGTTGGGCAGTTGTGACGACAAGATTCATTTTTTGAAGTTACCTGGCAAGCAAGGTGTCGACCACTCCTAAGGGATGTCTGCAAGCTGGCCACAGGTCTGTCAAGTTCTCATTCTTAGCTATATTAGTCTGAAGAAAAAAAAAAAAAAACAGAACTCCAGTCAGCAATCATTACAAGAAAAGAAAACGCATTCTATTGGGATCATGATCGATAACTTCCTCATTTGCAACAGGCTTCAAAATTCAGTGAACAAACCAATGGGTGACATGGTGGCCCATTCATTTTTATATTCCATTTCCTGTATTATATTTCCCTCTTAACTGTATTTTTTGTTCATAATCAGCTTTCTCTAACAAATAAATAAATACTGTTCATCTGTAATCTTCCAATCCGGTCAGTTCGGCATCAATTTGTGATAAAAATAAAAATAAAAGCCAATGGAATATAGTCAATGAAGTCAGGTAAACATTAAAATTGCTCCACTTACATTTATTCAGACATCAACTATGTGGCTAGAGGGGCTGAAGAAATATATTGTGGAGCTTGTACCACAATCATTTCATGGCATGGCTCCAATAAGTGTTAAATCAATCCCCCGAACAAACTAAGTTTCAGCATTCACTTCATTCTTGTTCTAGTGCAAGACATGATCTGATGGTTTCCATTAAAAATGTATAATGTCAGCTCTGACTTGCCGATGCTGGGGGTTCTGACCTGTTACAGTCATTACTGGCTCAGCCACATTACATGGCCAAATTCAAATTGGGAATAGCTCCTTTGCTACAGCATGTCACACATCAGTGTAAAGGGAGAAGAATGCATGTATAATGCAGAGAATGCAAAGCGCCTCTCTCAACTGATGTTGCACACATGCACAATGGCTCACTACCATACAAACAAATGCATAGTCTTCTACAAATAAGATGATAAGGCAGAGAGGGCAGCCTTCACTGCTCCATGAGAAACAGTTGCATAATATGTATTGGTATTGGCTCTTATGATAAGTAGTATCAAACACCATTGAAAGGATGAATACAACATCAAGGCAAGTACTATGTGTGAATCCCATAATATTCATTTGGAAAATAGTCTCATACCAAACAATACATTTTTAAATGGCTGTCTCACAGTAGTACTGCACACATACTGCACTGCCTTTTAACAATAGTCTTGCACTGAGCTTATTATTGGACCTTTTTCAAAGTGGACATTTTGGCTCCTTGTAGGCAAAGCACAGGTGATTAATCACACAATTAACAAACTCATTCCATTTGGGTGAGCTGCTTCCAGGGCCTTTGTATTGAATATGCTGGCTCACTGACAGAGACACTTAATGGAACTGAATTTGTCAAATGTCGCCTCCAAATGTCTCCGATGAAAGAGGTTTATTTCAAGTGTCAGAGAGTCATTTATTGAGTTTTTGGAGAAAAAAAAACGCTGCTCACAAGGTTATGTTAATAATGTGATTTTTTTTTTTTTTAAATCAAGTATTTGTGAAACTTTGGTTACATCTGAAACAATGACTTTGCTGAGGGTAGTAAGTTAATAACTTCTGATTGTGAAGGGGGCCAAATACCAGAGGTACAATGCTGAAAGACAAGTATAGGTACAAAAGACAAAACTAGATCTTTGATAGAATCAATTTATCAGGCAGCTTTGTTACTCTACAGCAGAAACTTTATCCTGAAACAGTTTTTCATGAGAATAATTTGAGTGGTAGGGAGCAGAAAGACAAATACAGTATGTGCATGATATGAATGAAAGGTTCAACTCACAATAGACTTAACCAGTGTTGGGGAACAATACTAATATTTCACTTTCACTTATCACTTATCTCATGTTCTGGACCAACACAGTATCTAAAGAGGTATACTATAGAACCACCATTCTCCCCTTCCTTTAAATGTTTGCAGCCTTCTGGCTTTATCTATTCTCTTCAACTTTAAACAGCAAACTACTTCAGTTAGTCTTACATTTATGTCAGAAGTTGTCAATGACAGATTTTATTTTCCTTTATTGTACAGGTGTTTCTAGGTTACATATTTAAACAATGGGAAACAGGGTGTAAACCAGCAGTTGTGGGAGGTTTCAAGAACTTAAATATTCTCAACAGTCCAGGAACTCAGAGCTCAGCTTTACTGTTAGCATTGACATACATCCTAATTATGGCATGAATACAAACAAAAGAAAACTCGCCTGAAAAGGGGATCCCCAGCCAACAGTCAAAATGGCCGTGTGGCTCAAACAATCAGTTTAAAAACGTCCTGCTCAAACCGAGTTGCTACTAGCATGGATAGAGTTGAAAAAAAAAAAAAAAACCTACTTAAGTCTAAAAGGAATATCACCAATCTTTCCATGAATGCATTAAAATGTGCAATAACTTGACAACACACTCTTTAAACTAGAGCTTATTTTGCAGCAGCTGGTTGAAAACAAACTATAAAGGAATAAAATAATATATCCTCCCCCATGCTTAAGTCCAATGTGGTACAGTCCACATTGCCAATACCTGGTGGATCAAGGGTCATTCAAGTCTACGTGTTCATTAGAGTACCAGCCTCAACCAGGAAGTAGAACTAGGAGAGAACAATGATTTTACATTAAAGGTAACAAGACATTGAAAATCTTGAATTGTAAGATACCAAATAAAGCATACACATTCCTTAACTAAAGCTGACCAATTCTTCAATAACCAATGTCAAATATTAGACTGAATAGTTAGTAAAAAATGATTAAGAGTTTTTCATCTGACTGCTAAAGGAATGGGGAGATTGGGTAATAGATATTTCTTTAAGAGTTATTTGGTCGATGCATATGTGCTTTTATATGAATATGCTAACATACTGTGTGTGTGTGTTTGTACTTTATTATACCTGTAAAAGTTTGAGACTATTTTTGCTGTTAAGTCAAGTAGCTGAGTCAGCGCTTCATTTCTTCCCCCTAGTACTGGATCTCTTTTATCATCTTTACACACCTTGTTCCCTTGTGCACCCCCATTCTCCACTCTGAACTCTTGCCTCTAATATTCAAATTCAATATCTTGTTCCTGCTCTAGTGCTCTTCTTATGTTCTTTATTACTTTAATAATGTTCCCCTTCCCTTTTCCTTTTCCACTTGTACAGAGAACAAAGGAACATTGAGGATCAGGCTTGGTATAAATGAGCCTCTACTGAGCTCTCATCATCTTGATTGGTTGCAACATTTGAGAGCTTGATTGTAATGGGTTGGCCGGTCCACCACGTTGGTGCATACTGAAATGATCCTAACAATTTTTTGGTGGATTGGGATTAAAAATGGTCCAGAAAGTAATGGTTCCCTCGTGATTCATACAAATAATTATGCGGACTCCTTCGTCCTTTATCATCTTCAAGATGTCAGATTGGTCAGTTGGCAGTTAACATTACTCAACATAGAGTTGAACAGAACAGAAGTTTATCGAGATCCTAATGGCTGCCAGACAAGGACTCCTAAAGAAAAGGAATCTCTGACTTTGGGGATTCCCTGACATTTGGGGTAAGGGACATGCAGCAGAGCAACCTTGTACAATCAAATGAGATACTAAAGAGCTGAGACAAAGCATCAATATTTGACAACTTTGGGTGAGAAACTGTTGTTGATGCTGTCGACATATATTGATACTGATAACCTACATTGGATGAGTTGAGCATTTAAGCAAGATGTACAGCCAGAGTAATGTTAAATGATGTATCTTTGGTTAAAAAATAACAAAAAGGCTAGCTACTGAGGGTAAACGATAAAATTGGTTAGTCACTTTTTCATGCAAGGTATTGGTTACACCTTTTTCAGTATGCTCATATTTCCAATAAAACCATAGGAATTGCATTTCCCAATGTGCTCTATATTGTAATGATTAAAGGTATTTTAATACCTATTTTAAAGTAAGCAAAATGATTGGAATTTGCAACCTCCCATATGTGTTAAAAATAAAGTAGTTCAGAGATCATTCCATTTGACACTAATGTGAACGGATAGTTATGAGCTGGGATGTGGATTTCAAACTGTTCACATTTAGCAGTTCAAAGTGATGTCAGATAGACTGATCTCTCAGTTTCAGAGCAGTAAACATACACAGACACAATGCTGACTTACACTGACTCTAATGACTCCTGACTGGTTCAGTGTTTGGAGGCGTGCATATGGAATGATACTGTCTCCCATTATAGATCAGCTGAAATCAGGTTAGAGGAAATCACTGTTGCATTCTGAAAGCACTAATACATGTGTTGCTTTTGCAATAAAGCAGGATAACTGTTATGGGGATAGTTTGAGCACAGAAAATGTGGTAATATGAATTTTTATTTGCAATAACTATGGAAATGTCAAAGCTAATCTAAAACAAGAGAGCTTAATTTCATGTTAAAAAAAAAGAAGATTATTTGTGTTTGCCCAAATTCTTTAATTGAAGACGAGTTCTTTCATGCTCTCATAATAAAGTACTTTGAAATAAAGTTCTCCCACCCAATTGTTTTGCTTTGTAACAACTTATAAGCTCTATATAGGCGACGACTTCTAATGAATAAGCGGGACTTCTGAAAGCAGTTATGTTAAAATGTTTCACTTTAAACTTTTTTAATTTTAACCCATGCTGTTGCTATTATGATTGTCTTTGGTCTTCAAAGTTAGTTATCTTCTCGCCAAAGTTTGCAGCTGCTGTCATAGCCACTCTGCTTAAAATCCACATTTAGTCTGAATAATGTCAGGGTTCTTTCTCTTTGTCTGCACAGTGCAACATAAGAGGAAAGGATTAGTTTTAATTCATGCATAAATGATAAGAGAACCCAAGGATTCTCATTTCTATATCTGCACGAGTACCTTTGATCTTCTCACACACTGACACATGCACCAACACTTATATTTATGAGCAGCAATTGTTCTCGTGTTGAGACCTAAGCAGAGACATGCAAAGTGGGAATGTCTGCGCATGTGCTCTCAACATGCCTCATTGCAGAGTGGCAGTATGAGACGTGATGAAAGCTACTCCTGCAGGAGGGTTGGAAATAGTCATCCTTTGGTAAAATTGTCTCTAATCATTTATGCATGGATTCAAACTTGCTTTCACCTGACACAGAGCACATCAGGGGCAGAGGCAGAGTGCAAGCAGGATGGC